CCGTCCGAGGCAACCCGAGACAGTACCGTTACACTTTGATTTGAAATATTTTTGTAAAAAATATATATATATACAATAAATAATATATATTATTTTTTTCTAGGATCCAAAAATTAAGAAAATTAAACAAAATTAACATTTTAACAATTATTTTAAGTACAACATTATTACAAGTTTAATGAGCTCCCAGTTAACTTAAATAAAAAAGTAGCTATACACGAATTCATCAAAGATATAGAAAGCAATTCTAATGGGATCAGAAATCTTACTTCGATTCGTAATGCTGCCATTCCACAATTTTTATTATTTTTAAACAATAACGACAAAAAAACGGACATACAAGAAAAATTATTTCACATGCATAAAGACACAATTAAATTCTGCAATCAAAATCCTAATATTTTATTTACTAGAGCAGATAAAGGCAGCATTACAGTCGCACTAGAAAAAGAATTTTATATAAAAAAAGTTGAGAGTCTCCTAGAAGACGATTCTACGTATACCATAGTTAAAAACAATCCATCAACAAAAATAGAAAAGAACTCAATATTTGTTTAAAAAATGGTTGAAAAAAGACTTCATCAACAAAAAAGAATATTATTATTTATTTTCAAGCGACTCTCTTCTTCCTAAAGCCTATGGGCTCCCCAAGATCCACAAGGAAAATATTCCTTTTAGATTAATAGTTTCCTCAATAAATACTTCTCTATATAATATTGCTTCTTTCTTTCATAAAATTTTAAAAGATAGCCTTCCTAGAGCGGACAGTTTTGTAAATAACAGTTTTGATATATGCAACATTCTATCAGGGAAAACAATACAAGATACCGACATAATAGTTTCATTGGACGTTGTTTCATTATTTACTAATGTTTCCGTAGATCTTGCATTAAACGGTATCAATAATAGATGGCAATTTATAGAGTCACACACAAAGATTCCCAAAAATGAATTCATAGGTATGATAAAATTTATACTAACTTCTACATTTTTCACTTTTAATAACATAACTTACAAACAAATTTATGGGACTCCTATGGGTTCCCCACTTTCTCCGATCATTGCCGATATAGTCATGCAGGACTTGGAAACATTGGTAATTAGTAATTTAAATTGCGAAATGACTTTCTATTTCCGTTATGTAGACGACATTATTTTATGCACTTCCGCTGACAATATTACATATGTTTTGAACGAATTCAACAATTATAACGATAGACTACAATTTACATTGGAAAAAGAGGATAATCGTTGTATAAGCTTTTTAGACATAATGATCAAAGTAATAGATAATAAAATTTATTTAGATTGGTCACACAAAAAGACATTCTCAGGTAGATTACTTTCATTTTGTTCAAATCATCCGACTTGTCATAAAATAGGAACAATTTATAACTTGGTAGATAGAGCTTTATTACTATCACATCCGCAATTTCACAAAAAAAATATAGGGAAAGCTATTAACATTTTGCTATCCAACGGTTATCCTCTTGATCTAATTTTCACAGAAATAAAACGCAGATTAAAAATCTCTCAACTAAGAAATTTGACAAGCCTAATAATAACAATATAACAGATACCAATAATACTAATACTAACATTAAATATTTTGTCATACCATATATAGAATCAATATCTGAGAAAGTTGCTTCAGCAATAAGAAGACCTGACGTAGTGGTAGGATATCGTTGCATTAAAAAATGAATGACTTCATAAAAGTTCAAAAGGACAAAAATAATTGCCCCACGAATTCTAATGTTATTTATAAATTGAATTGCAACGATTGTGACGCCACATATGTCGGACAGACAAAAAGACAGTTAGGAACGAGACTTAAAGAACATAAAAATAATATTAAACTAGACTCTGCTAGACATTCGGTTGTCACAGAACACATTTTAAACGAACAACATACATTTGACTGGGACAATATTAAAATTATGGATCACGAAAAAAACTACCATAAAAGACTAATATCTGAAATGATCCACATTAAAGAACAGAAAAATGGAATTAATTTAAATACAGACACCGAATTGTTAGACAGTAGTTATTTTGACATACTTAAAAAATTTGCTGAATCATAATTTAGAAAAAACATTGGTAATAAATAAATACATCACGCTCTCTATTTTGACATTTGGTATTCAGACTTCGCAACACACACTTGAAATATCGGGGAAAGGACTTGTTAAAACGATAATGTAAGTTGAAAGATTTTTTAATTTTCTCTGACATTGATTTAATTCGCGTATTATATCCGTAGCATGCTCAAATGTCGCATAACTTGGCATCTCAGACCAATCGCCTTGCATATCTATTGGTCAACAGCGAAGAATCGTTTCAATTTTATATTTTAATATTTAACTAACTTGTATTTTTAACATTTAACTTTGTATTTTAATATTTAACTTTATGTATTGATAAAGACTGTAGTGCAGTCGAAACGTTTACAATTTATATCGATTCTGTAACGGAATGTTAATTTAATTATTTAACTATTAATAAAAATTTTTACACCTTATTTATTTGCTCGTTCAGTTGGCCTACTATATATAATTTGTTAATTTTGTTAAATTATACGAGCCTTTCATTAATTAATTTTAATGAGCTTTATTTATCACAAGAATAATAGATTGATCATATAGTTATAATTAAAAAATTTTTATTTTTTATTATTAAATACATAATTTTAATGTTAATATAATTTATTATAATAATTGTATTTGTTTTTAACTTAAGTTTAAAAACTGTATATAAAATTAAACCTTTTCATAAATTTAATTAAAATTATGTGTATTTATTTAATTATTAGTTTTTTCTGCGTAAAGAATAAAAAGTAAAAAGAAAAGTTCCAACACATTTCTTTTGTTTTATAAAGTAATTCTTGAAATAAATAAAAACAAATATTGTATGTGTATATACATATATATTATATATATATATATATTATATATATATAATATATATATAATTATGTATTTAAAAAATTATATAATAAATTATACATATATTATATATATAATATACTATAAATATATATATATACATATATATATGTATATATATATATATATATATATATATATATATGGTATGTAATATATACTGGGTGCCCCAGAACTGGCGAAAAAGTTTATGGCGATTCCTGGTATCATTGGAGACGATTTTTCCTGAGTGAAAATATTGAGAGAGGCCATCATTTTTGAATGTTCCCAATTTTTGTTATTATGTATCTATACATATATATGTTCCTGTCTCTCTGTCTCTTCTTTCTTTTCTACATTACATTCTTTCATACATGCAGACGTATATAATAATAAATATTTTCTGCATTACATAAATAAAAATAATTACATACATACATACATACATGTATGTAATTATTTTTATTTATGTAATGTTAAAAATATTTTTTATTATATACGTGTGCATGTATGATAAAATGCAATGTAGAAAAAGAGAGAAGAGACAGAGACAAAAACACACAGAGATGTGTGTGTGTGTGTGTGTGTGTGTGTGTAAAATATACATACACAGAGTGTACATAAAAGACCGGATATATACATACTCATCATCATCCTCGCGTCCGCTGGCAGCGAGGTCATCATTATTCCGCGTCCGTGGCAGCGGCGCCGTCGCCGTNTTCTTCTAATGTAATTACTTTCCGTACTTCAAATGTTGTAGTAATTATTCTGTAAGAGCTTCGACATTATTTCTAAATGGACATCGAAAAACATCATAGTTTTTTGAGAGCAGGCCGCCATGTTATTTTTCTGAGTCATTAACAATTGGTACTCTGGAATTACGAGCAATTATTTTTCATTGTACGGGCTAGTATGAATTTCAAATCAAATCTCTATAAACGACTATTATATTTTGTGCACTAAGAATAACATATCGCACTTATTTTCTAGAATCAAATTGTAATCAGTTTTACTTATATGTATGTATGTTCAATGTGAACTTGCACCTTGAATAAAATATCAGTTACTTTTCATGGTAATATATTATTACTAAATTTAGATAATATACACTTTACGTATGTTCACTTTGAACTGGCACCTTGAATAACATATCAGTTACTTTTCGTGATAATTTATTATTAGATCATTTAAATTTTGAAAGGTTTAAATTTTTGAGTACCTTCTTTTGAACATGGCCTGACCTTTTCATTTTTATGATTTTATTTTCTACAAAAACAATTCGTCAAATCCACATTATTGTCACGTGGATTCTACGAATTTTTATATAAAACCCACGTGACAAAAATGTGAATTTTACTACTATTTTTGTGAGGTTATTCATACACTGGCTACAGCAAAACAGAAGTTCAAGCAATATGAACACGTACATTATCTATTATTTGATAAATATAATATTGAATAATATATATGTGTCATTTACTTACATTACCTGTATATTCTTAAAAGCAGCTATTGTATCCTCCGCTTCGGAAATTCGATCCGCCCATGGCAGGTTATAAACACAGCACGCGCGAACGAACTTTTCAGGCTCGATAATGAACACTATACTGCCGAAGATTGTGTGTGTATGGTTTCTCCTTTCCTCTATATTTTTGAAAATTTTTCGTGTTTTCTCGCTTCTTCCAGATATAAATCGCCCTTTGATCAATTCAAGCACGTGTGCCGTGTGCGTCGTACAGAACGTGTTGCTTACAAGCACTCGAGTGCCGTTTTCAGTGATGCCACTCGGGAGAGGCCGAGAGGCAACAGTATACGCGCACACAAGTGCGATCGTCATACGTGTATTACACATACGACGATCGCGCTTGTGTGTGCGTGTTGTTGCCTCTCCCAAGTATGGCATCACTGGCCGTTTTATCTACGTTTAAGGCGTGTTTCTATTTTATACGACAAGGCGCAAGACGGCCGCGGCATAAAGTACGTTTTACATTAGTTACGTCGCAGTTTTAAGTGGAAAGTCAAGTAATTGATAGTATAGTTACATCTTGCCACAAGAGGAATAAATGACTAAAAATGCACATAAAGAAAAAGGTATACTTATAAAATTATTACTTATTATTAGATCTTAGGATCTGCTTTTTATTCCTGCACTACCTTAACTCTAGGCTGCACTAATTCAAAGGTTATCTCTTTCTCCCTATGAGAAATTTTCTTTTACTGGAGGATACACATGATTGTTTTACTAATATTTTGTTTAATATTTTTTTAGAACGAGATACAGACTGCAGTACAAGATAATAAACGTGATGATGTGATTAGTCCGAGCCTTTTATTTCCACGACTGATAAAAGAATCGAAGAAAGGATTAAAAAGTCACGAGAAAAAGCATGCAGTAAACAAAAATGTTAAAACAAATTCAATAGATTTAGATAACAATATAGAAAACAAGCCACCTACTGCATCACTGGCTAGGTATGATATGTGTGAATATTTATTTATTTAATATTTGGTAATAATGTAAATTTCTGTTACATAAATATCTCATTGAAGTATCTTATATTTACAAATTGCAAAAGAAAAAGAAGAACATTAACGAGCAGATTAATATTAACATGCGATCCAAAGCTCAGAGATCAGCGTTAAATGGTTGGGATTGTTGGGAATGTGAAAAAGTAAATATTAATATTACATAATAAAATCTAAATAGTTCCCTCTTACTTTATACATTTTTTTATATATATTATAAATTTCTTTATAATATTTATTTTTATATATAATTTCTAGTATTACAAGAGTCTATCTTTGTCTAAAACAGAGTTACAGAAGCGAAAAAATAAATGCTCAAGACATAGGAAGAAATATGAGAGACCACATACACCAAAAGGTATATATAATGTAGATATATTTAATATATATGTTTCTAATATATATATATATTTCTTTATAAACATTTTCTACGCATACATACATACATACATACATACATACATACATACATACATACATACATGCATGCATATAAAGAAATATATTAACCTTTTTATCCAGCTTTTCTTGAAGGAAACTATGTTGACAAAGAGGCAGACGTTTTGCGTTATATTATTCTATGAGAGAGACGAAGATAATACGACTGTCTGTGCTTGTCTAACTGCACGATTGCAGTTCCCTCCATCGCGACATCGCGCAACTAATTTTCTGCTCTGTTTTATTCCTAAATGTCATTTCGCACATACACATGTAAATGAAATATTCCACAATCGAGATCTTTTTTATTAGACTTCTAAATTTATTTCTGCAAGTTCACTAATATTCGTCCTTTATGCAATCTTTTGGAGGAAGCGGTCTTATTTTGTACGTATAATTGTGAAACTTTTATACAAGCAAATATTGTGATGACGTGACGCGAGAAGCTAAAAAAAACTCGTATTTAAAAATGTTTCTCTTTATCACAAATTCAGACCACTCCTTTCTTTATTATTGTATTAACTTTAATCGTGGAAAAGCATTTGTTATTTTATTAACGCAATAAAAACTTCTTGATTGTGGAAAAATATAATCGGTTCGGTTGGTAAAAGTATACCTCCCGCATTTCCTTAAAAGGTTAATTATTATTATTAAAACTAGAGTGGGGAAACAATATTTTTTATTAAAATATATAAATTTTATTACTAAACAATATTTTTTATTAAAAATATAAATTTTTGTATTTATATTTACAGAGTATTTTTTTCTTATTACTAATATCTACATTTTCTAACTTTAGTTAAACTACTCCTTGTCTTTCCTATTATAAAAATAAAATTAAAACTACGGGTATTTTAAAATTAAAACTACGATTTATAAAATATAATATAAAGTATAATATTTTATAAAATACATTTTACTTCTATAATATTTACATTTTACATAACATTTGCATTATTATGCAAGTGGCGGAAAACGCACGCGTATATGTATTGTATCTCCGCAAAGATAGAAGAGTGTGAAGAGGAGAGCGATGTCATTGTTCCAGTAAATAACCGTATGGAAGAGAATATCGATTTTTGATAAATCTTCGTTTTAATAACACAGGCTTGCATACTTTTGTTTCGTCACGTGTTATTATATCGTGAAATGCGGTTCGCCGAATGGCTTTAAAACGAAGATTTATCGATGTCCCAGGAATCGCCTCTTCAACTTGCTTTCGCGCGTTCCCTTTTCCCGTTCTTCTTCTTCTTCTTCTCTTTCTTTACGCAGCAATAATTCTCTAATACTATTAAAATTAACTAAACGCGAGTTTTCGAAATTCAAGGTTATACCCTTTACTTTGCAAACTTTGCGTGTGAGTCCTTCGGGTGTACGGACCACATATGCGTAAAATTTCGGACCACCAGATACGAACGACTCAATGTAACTACCTTGTCCGTAGCTCGCGAGTTCATCCGTCATGTCACCTAAAAATTACCCGTATGCGGTTCGTATTCCTACGGATCACCGCGACTTACATAAATACAGGAATCCGTGTCGTAATATAAAACACGCCTATCTAATTTTTCTAAATAATCATACAATTTTAATCGCGCTTGAGCCGTCGTGTAAGCCACTATTATAACATTAGTAAGAGGCGAAGGTACGATCGCCTCTTCTCGTAGTCGAAACGAAACATATATCACCTCGTCGTTTACAGGCAATATATCGGTTATTTCATGTTGAGGACTAGTGAGCAAACTCATTAATCGTTCTTGTGTTTTGACAATCGCGGTATTCGGTAAGTTTGCACGTTGACCTTTACCCCAAAAAGAATTCAAGCATAATTTAGCAACCGAGCGTAAACCGGAATTGAGTGCAATGTTATCTTTTTCAAGAACGATTCCTTCTACTTCCTCATACTCGCGGATGTAACGCTCTTTAGCAACGTTATCGACACACTCGCTCGGCCATCCGCTAGCTTTTGCTTTAATTGTAGAAATGTATTGATGTATTCTGTAAATAGACCCCCTTGTCGCGTACCGGGTTCGTAACAAGCGATGTTATATTGTCAAATCTCACTAACCCCTGTCACGAAATATCCTTTCTCGATTGCTTTTCGTAATTCGCACGATATCCATGTACCTTCGAATTCGCGTTCGTGAGCTTCGTGAGTCCACCCAATCTGAGAAAATGTTTCGCAGCAACTACGACATAACGCAAATAATAATTTGCCCCGCACGCGATAGGGTAATACAGGATGAAAGAGATCGCGGGGAGAAAGTACTTTACATCGCACGACCCTCTCGACTGAATCGAAATTATATCCGGTGATAATCCGATTAACTTATCGCATTCCTCGCCTACGTATATTGTCGGATGACCAATCGGAAAACCACCGGTCTTCAACACAAAGGGATACAGAATACATCCACGTAACGTATCTTTTCCGTACCCGTGATCTCGTATCGCGTTATAATATTTCCTGTGCGTCCGCCGTAAAATGAGTCTCAGGGATCGAGCGGTTCAGTGTCTATCATTCGATGTCGATGTAGATATTCGCGCATCTCGACATTTTCATTCATCTCGCGATCAAAGTCGCATTCCCATTTCTCAATCACCCTATATCCGCGCTTTCGAAGGCGAAATGTTGCAACGGTGTGTTCGTAACGTAAATCACACGTATCTGTACGATCCGTCGAAAGCAGTCTATCGCGATTTACTCGAAAACATCTTGGACAACCATGTCAAAAACAGCCGTAAAACTGTAATGTGTAATATTGCGTTACGTTATTTTCTACCGACTCGTAGTATCCATCGACTAGCGTACCATCGCGTAATCGATATTCGCGAGCGCGACCGGCATGGATATAATATGATGACCGAGCTCCTGCTCTTTCCATATCAACCATTGCAGGGCTTTACGCGAGTGAATATTCGCATGTCTGTATCCCCTCGTTGGAATGATACCGATCTCTCTTTCGCGTAAAAAGTTTTTTTCTAAATACTCGCATACACGCTGAGGCGATGGTTGTGCATTCCTCGAATGGACACACGTTTCCACGCTCTAAAAATATTTTTCTAAAAGCCATACACGCTCATCTAAGGATATCTCCATCGTTACCACAATAAAGCAATATTTCGCGTTGAAAATCAAACACATAGTTCGTGCGCGTCATCTCGGAGTGCCACGCGAGAAATTTTTCGCGTTCTTTCATCTGCATAGAGTCGGGTGAATCATATTGAACACCGGGTAACGCTCCGACATAAGACTGGTTATCGATAGTATTGAATAAATGTGGAAAAATGCCTTTATTCGTACCATCTGCCAGTCCGAAAGCTTTGGGTATTTCGGATAAACGCATCGGCATGTAATTAATACTATCGATAAATTTCGTATGACCTAGCGTCAATACAACTATTTTCGTACCGTTTAAAATGACTCGAGGTTCTAAGACATGGTTTTCCACGATATATTTAAAATAAATTGCGCGTCGAATGACTTTGCGTTATGCGCGATGCAAATTATTTGTTTAAAATATTTCGTCAGCCACGTTACGAAATCTACAAATTCCTGCACGGGGTTGCGACGAAATATAAATTCGCGAATACCGCACCAACGACATCGCACCGACATTTCATCTATTCCTGCACACTCCTCGCAAATTTGTTGAGCGACGCAGAGCGTAGGTACGTGAATTTTTACATTTGTGCTACCTTGGAGCGTTTTGTCTTGCCTCGTCTCAAAGTCATAAAACACAATGCAACCCGGCTTCACGAGCCTGATTAATCGAACCTTCGTCGTCATCGTCGTCGTTTCTCCGCTGATGCTGTTGTTGCTCGTTATTTCCATCCGCGAGTTCGGAAGTGCGCGGATCGGGACGATTATCGCCATGTCAACGAAAGGGAAGCATGTAACAAAGGTGATTCAAAGGCTGAAGAGAACGACACGTAGCGCAATAAGCCGTGTCGCATTCGTGTTGTTTATTTCTTTGAATCAAACGTCCGCAATCTTCGCAAAATCGCATAATTTCACAAACACTCCGACGTAATTACCATCGTATGATTTTGCCGTGCGATGACGCTCCAAGCAGGCATGATTGAAAAATTCACGTCTACAATTATCGCACCTAATACGATCCGCGAATGATTGCTCACACGGCGGCTCTCCGTTACATCGCGGACATTTATTAGAGCATCGATGTTCTCTCACATCGGAGCGGTAACTTAAATTACACGGGATGCAATATCCTCGCCCGCCTGCTGCTGCATTTAAATTTAAAATTACATTGAAATGTTTATTATTTGAACGGTATAATAGATTTAGAGAAGTTTTTATTTCCCGCTGCAGAGTGGTTAGAAATACGTTTTCATCGAATAGCGGATTACCGCCTCGACCAAAAGTATCGTCGTTATATATTATTATCGCGACATTTTTGCTTGCGAGATATTGCTGAAAACGCTCGATTTCAACAATTCCACTTCCTCCGGAATCGTGACATCGACATTTCTCGTAAGTTGCAACGCTAACTCGTGCTGTAACACCGAGTTTGTCTTCTCACCGCATTCCATTTCGCGTGTAACTTTCCCACGCGTAAATTTTCACGCTTGTTAAAAATTAGAGCTGATACAAGCGCACGAGGAAGACATAAATTATCGGTATTGGAAATTGTTAAAATCGAGCGTTTAGCAATAACATTAAGCGTAAGCCCGTTACGTCCGCGACCAATAGGAGGGGTGACTTTAAAAATGCGAATGTTAAATTCTTGCGCTATATCGTATCCTCCGCAGCTTTGCGCTAACGAGCTTACGAGTTCCAAATATTTTGTAAGTCAAATCTCGCGAAGGTCGGAACAATATACCTGCGGGGCCGCGGGTTAAACTTGCAGAATCAAAAGACATACCGACGTAATCCACGGTTCACACGAATGCAACGCATATTCGTGAAGTTCGCGAAACGCATTTTCTAACTACGCATACGCGTTTGCTCCTTCGGGTATCGGCCGAATACGAAAACTAATTTCCCGTCCTTCTACACCAAAGTTCTAAACCGACGCACGTTTTCCGCTAACATTATTATATATCTAAAATTACCATCTACCTCTTGATTCGCTACTTCTTCCTCCGCTTCTTTTTCTTCTTTCTCTTGTCCAGCAGCCGCTAAATGTCGCTCTTCGGCATCGTCGGAAGTTTTCTCACCGGAACGGGTTTGAGAATCTTCTTCTTGGTGTATTTCGACGTTCCTTCCCCCGCCACTCTGTACTGTGAGAAATAAAAAATTATATTAACGAAATAAAATACTTAATAAAATATTACTCTCTTACGTTTGAATTTTTATTAATATGTGAAATTGGTGTTATTAATAATTATGTTAAGTTTACTTACGTTTGATATTCGTTTGCCGGGCCATTTGTATCACCCTGCGAGGATTAATACTCCGGTGAATATGAAACTTCGGGAACAATGTTAGGAGAGAAAGAAATTCCTAATAAATTTTATTTAATTAAAATAAACAAAAAATTTAAACGTAGGGAAAGATTAAATATAAATATGCAATTATTACCTTCCTCAGCCATCACCCGCTATTTTTTCTTTTTTAGAAAACGTAGCATTATTTCATCTCTCACTTCTTCTTCTTTATCTCCCGTTTGTTCTTCTTGATCTTCCGGCTCTTCTCCTTCATCTTCCGTTTGCTCTATTTCTTCTTCCAACTCTTCATCTTCCTTTTCCTCTTCCTCCTCCTCCTTCTCAACCTTCTCCTCCTCCTCCGCCCCCTCCTCTACTTCCTCTTATTTTCTGAAATCAAGTTTATTTCCTCGTCGATTTCCTCCTCTGTTCTCGTTCCTCTACGACCACGTTTTCATTCGCCACGTCATCTAATATTCATCAATCATATATTATTAGTTATTTCACATAATTAAAAAATCTTTTGTGTTGATATACCACTGTAGTATTTTTCTTACTTACTTTCAAGCGGAGTAAATATGTCCGCCTCATCGAACGGACTTACTTCGCGAACCCGCACTTCTTTCACGTCATTGTCACTTTCGGCTAAATCAATAACCGGATGTTTCCAGCTCCGGCGTTAACACGATGCGTGCACGGCCTGGAACGTATAACATTTTTATTACAAAATTTCTTGTTTAATATTATGTTTTCTAACAACACGATATAATTTATGATGTTAAAAACTTACGCGAAGGTCCGGGTTCCGGCGAAGAATTCGCTCGTTTTCTATTTAGCTTTAATCTTAGTGATACGGGCGATTTTCCAGTACACGTAACCGGTTTCTTGTGACGTGTGCGACAGGACGTACGATAGCTAAAGTTTTAGCAAATTAAATAAATAAATAATTGAGGTAGTTATAATTAATTTATTTATAATTAAGTGTAATAAAAATAAAAACTCACTATTATTATCTTCTCCCCGCAGAACTCGTGAAAAGGTAGGAGGAGATATTCTATGTGGTCTGCTGTATCGTTTTCCTTCTCATTACCGAAATAGTATCGCGACTCGATCACCTCTCCCGCGATAATCAGTAATTCGCGAAAAACACTAAAATATCCTAGTCGGAATAATACCGCTAGTACAGCGCTGGGACATTCCCCCGCGAATTTACTAAAAATATTGAAGCATTTCTCTTCACTCGCGCATGCTAATTTATATATGCCTGGAAAAATTTTTCCCGCATAAACTCTGCGCTAGTGATAGACAAATTTCAACTACTTTTTTCAAACTCATTATTGAAATTTAATGGTACACTTGCGTTAAATACGTGAGTACGCGAGAGACGAAATTCAAAAATGTAACTAACTAACTTAACCTCGAGAGCCGTATTTATACGTTTGAAGAACACCTCCTTACGGAGTGGGAAATTTCTCAGTTTTATAATGTTTAAGTTTATTAAAACAAAAAAAGGATGAGAAACGCCTCTTTTCCCAGAACATTGCCTGATTTTTTTTAACGTAATATAAAATAGCTACGATTAGTTTACGAGCATTCTAGCAGGAATTTACAATTTTATTTTATTTTATTTTATTTATAGAGTAATATTTACTTAGATACAGAAAAAATTTAATCTAGGGCGTTATTTACTTAGTTACAAAAAGTTTATGGAAATCAAGATAAGGAATTTACAGGTCTTTTCTCGATTTTATTTTATTTATTACGTTTTAGGGGCGATGGGCGGCGAGTCTACCCACGTGATCCCGAAGACCATGAGTGCGGAGAAATTTTTTGACAAGGGTCTAAACCCGAAATTCCCGAATTATATTGAAAGTCGGTTCCGGATCGTTATGAGAGGCTTCCTTGCGACGGGCGAGGTACGAAAGGAAACCGCTCAGGGCCTTAGGGCAAATTCCGCAGATAGCGTCGCGCACAGCGACAGTTCCTACCAGGACTCGGAGGCAGAAGGCACACTTCTCGAAACGCGAATCGTCTCTCAGAGTGATGTAATGACGTACTACGCGCTCGTGTAGGTTCTGTTGCGGGGGTCCCAGGTTAATAAAACAATGATCGCAAACGACTGCGCGCGAGGTGAGATGTCTACGAAATATGGCTATAGTACAACGAGCGGATACTACCCATTCGGTATAGGACAGGGATAGGAGGTCGGGACCCGAGTTATTAGAGCTAGGAGTTCGGGGACACATTATCTGAACATCGCACAGTGATTCGCGTAACTACTGGCAATGAACTCGCGGGCATCATGCGCGGATCGTGGAGCAAAGGTAGTGGGAGTCGAGGAGGACCACGTGTTCGTGGCATCCCAGGTGGCGGCAAGGTGAGTTCCGAGTATCTGTAGACTTTTACTATCGGAGGTGGTGATAAAATAGTTTACGAACGCACTTTGTTCTGCGAGGTTATGGTCGCTTACGTGTCCGGACAGAAGTCGTAATACAAGGTGTGTAATAGGCATGGGACTCCTGTAAGTGGAAAACGTGAGGCAATAGAAAGAGAAAGAATATGAGACGCCCATCTTTATCCTTGTCTAACGTTGCGCGCGCATCAAGCTGAATGGAGTTGAGTGGGGAGGTATCGTTGAGACTACTGAGGGGGTTTTTCTTTAACCTACAATATGGTGTTGTAGCTAAGAATTTATTAATCTTGCATATAATTTTATGCATTTATTCGGATTCAGTCAGATAAATAAAGAAGAGGAGAAATTAAATTGACGCGCTGTGACACAATCATAAAGAAAAATGACAAGAACGTGTATTGTGTGTAAAAAGCAACCTATTCCGTTTAATATATCTCGAAGTTTTCACAAGTAAGTTTATTAAATATTGATAAATTTATTATTTGAAGTGTGTATTATCAAAATACCTTAACCTAAAATTCATATGAAAATGCCAAATATTATTCTATATTTGGTATTTATTCAGATTAGCTGCTCCACCTCCGATTTTAACTATATTTAATTTTGAATTACAGTTTTCCCGTTAATGTTGAATAAAAAAAGAAGTGGATGGAAGCTATTGGTGTGACAACAGTTTGTAAGTCAGCCAGTATATGTAGCGACCACTTCTATGAAGAATCATTTTATCAGACTGATGGATATACAACTTTGAGACGTTTAATATGAACTGCTGTCCCTTTTAATCGAAACACTAATCAATTATCTTTACCAATTAACAACGTATCTACTCAAGCACTTGGTGACATAACGAATCATCAAGATATGACAATAAGTGACGAAAATACATTTTCAACAAGTACGGATACTAATAACGGAGACAACTTTGAAACACATGATAATTTAAGTCCCAGAAACAATAATAAAAGGTACATTAGAATTTTTGTAAAATTTTTTACTGCTAAATATTTTAAGCTTAATATTTTATAAAATAATTGTATTATTAATTGTATTATTGATGTTTAGAAAATCATCTGTTGTCGACATTCACCCAAAAAAAATTTGTTTTGTGGTCGGAAGTCAGCTAGAGTCTTTTTCAAGAGAGCACTTCGCTTCAGATGAAGCTTGGGAGCGATTTGTAAGAGTTATGGCTTCTGAAAAATTGAAGAAATCTGCTTCCCATATGAAGTTATTTAGGAAAGAAAAATAAATAATAATATAAAAGAACTAATCAAAACCATGAAGAAGAAACAGTTTTCTGAGGCTGCTGAATGTTTACAGGTAAATTTGTAATTATACGTTGCAGTGCAGTTTCAACATACATTTCAATCATATTTTAGGCGATTTTTGGTGATTGTCTGGTATATGTACCAAGGTATACCAAAGTATACCAGAACATTCTCAAGGTACCAGAATAAGCTCCACCCTTACCAATAATAACCTTGGTACATATATCAGATGATCGCCAAAAATCGCTTATTATGTAATAGAAAAATTCATGTAACTTTTTACTGTAATACTTAAATTGTACATACTTCTATTTCAATCAATTGTATTTTAATGATTAATTATTTTATGTGAAATGTACTTTGTACTATAATTGTATTATAAAGTGTATAATTGTGAGAGAAATTTAAATATACGCTCAAGTTAGTGAGAAATTATTTTGCGTTAAAAGGACCTATAATATATGATAAAAAAGAAAGTATTAGTTGGGAATATATTAAAAAAGTACACAATAAGCAAATTAGTGAGGGCTTGCACAGTGCATGCAAAATACGAGACAGACATGTTTATTTTCAAAACGAAAAAATGAAAGTTTCACTGGCGGCGCAAGTATTAAGTTCAAGCGTATCAAATGCATTACATTTCCTTGAATTCGAAATTAAAGATAAAAATTTTGAAAAAGCTTCATCTACAGCGAAATTTTGTCAAACAATTAATGATATTTTTGATTTTTTAAATGTGAAAAACAAATTTTGTAAGACGCCAGGACGACAAGCTATTACCAAAGATTTCTTATCTCAATTCAAAATAAAAATTAATGGATTTATTGATTATATTGAAAAATTAGAAATTGATGTGCCTGTAGCGAGAAAAAACAATAACATAAAGACAACAGAAAAAGAAAATTCTATAATTAATAGTAACCAAGTAATAAAAAAAAATCGTAAATCAGTTCTTGAAAGCGAATCTGTTAAAACGGGATTTCTTGGCTTTATTATTTGTTTAAAAAACTTATTTAGTCTTTGTACAGATTTGATACAAAATAATACTGTTCAATTTGTTTTAAGTTATAAACTATCTCAGGATCATGTTGAAATGTTTTTCGCTTTAATAAGAAGAATGAATGGTTATAATAATAATCCAACAACAGTGCAATATCAATCTGCTTACACCAAATTATTAGTTAATAATATGAATGTTTTAGTGTCTACTTCAGCGAATTGTATTCCGCAAGACAATACATTATTAATTTCAGACGTAACTAACATTACCGAAATGAAACAAACAATAGCGAATAATAAAAATACATCAATTTCAAAAACTAATACGGAAATTCATACTACGAAAGAAAGAAAAAAAGTCCCACAACAAAAACAAATTAGTAATTTTCCAGTTTATAATTATTTGAAAAGTAATCATAGTATATTATTTGATCACAATTATTGCGGAAATGCGGGCTGGTATGTTTCTGATTATCTTGAAGAAATCGTGAAGCATATAGCTGGTTCAATAGTACATTCACTAAAGAAAAAAATAATTTGTGAAGTAGAGACATGTTAGAAGATGACAGTGATAAATCAAAATTAACAATTTTAAAAATCGTGGTGGCTTGCATTTTCCCTCCAAAGATGTCATTTTTATTTGTATGAGTGCTGAGAAAATAATACGTCAACATGTTCATTTATTATTAAAAGATATAAATAACAAGCTTATAACAGAAACACTACAACTACTTCCTAATACAATTTTAGATAACAATAGTCATACTTTAGATCAAGAGCCTTTGTATGATCATCGACACCAATTGATTATTCTTATTATACAAAAATATATTGATATTCGTTTGACACACGAAAGTAAACGCTCCAAAGATGATTCTAAAAGAATCAGAATGCATTATAATAAGCTAACGATTTTCAGTGGCCAATAATAATATATTAACTGACAAAAATATAGATAAAAGTTGTATACTTTCTACATATTTTATGTTAAATTTATAACAAATAAGAGTTTAAAGATTGAATATATATCAGAAATACATAAAATGTTTTATTTGAATATTTTATTATTATAACATTACAAATTTTGTTATTTAAAAGCGTTTATATAAATAAAAAACTTTATGTGGAATGTATTGTTATTACTAATATAAACATTTTCCTCCTTCTCTCCTTTCCTCTGTTTCATGCATAATGGATTATATATCTTTATTTAACATTCGATGAGCAACAAGGCTAAATGATGCATTGCACGCATGCGGGAAACGAAACGCACTCCGATATATTGCTCTCTTCAAATCCTGATCTCCCCACTTGACTGCGAAAATCTATAGCGCATGCGCGATTGAACAAGGATGCTGATGGGCGTCTCGTTCTCTGTCTCTTTTTATTAGCTCACGCATTCGTGGCTGGCTTTTCCCCTCTATCTATACAACCCTCTTTGTCGTAATAGCGAAGGTTAGCGAACACCCATATACCGTTTTACTCGGGGGGTAGGAATAGAATGGTTTACGGACGCCCGCGAGCTATATTTGAGGTAGCGATGGTGGGAGTTTATGAACGCGTGCTAGTGAAACACGAGGCGGCTATGATACGAGGTTACGGTAGTCATGTACACGCAAGGACGCGCGGGCATGTTAACTGCGTTATGTACGATGGTTACAAGGTGAGATTCCGATACCGGGTGCGTGGTCAGGGTAATCGTATAAATACGGTGGCGGCGTGGTTGTCGACCATGTGTTCGGAGAGACACGTAAATATGGCGGCGGCGTGGGCTGACGACCACGTGTTCGAAGAGACGCGTGGGTATGGCGACGGCGTTATGCGCCAGCCATGTGCTCGAGGAGACGCGCAGATATGGCGGCGGCGTGGGTTGACGACCACGTGTTCGGAGAGACGCGTGGATATGGCGACGGCGTTATGCGCCAGCCATGTGCTCGAGGGGACACGCAAATATGGCGACGGCGTGGGTTGACGACCACGTGTTCGGAGAGACGCATGGATATGGCGACGGCGTTATGCGCCACCCATGTGCTCGAGGAGACACGCAAATATGGCGGCGGCGTGGGTTGACGACCACGTGTTCGGGGAGACGCGTGGATATGGCGACGGCGTTATGCGCCAGCCATGTGCTCGAGGGGACATGCAAATATGGCGACGGCGTGGGTTGACGACCACGTGTTTGGAGAAACGCGTGGATATGGCGACGGCGTTATGCGCCAGTCATGTGCTTGAGGAGACGCGCAAATATGACGACGGCGTGGGTTGACGACCACGTGTTTGGAGACACGTATTGATATAACAAATCGCTTACCGTGATGGCGCGTCTTCTCTGTTAATATTCTTTTCTGACGGCTCTGCTAACCTTGTCGTCGCATGGGCGGATGTGCTGTTCTGTGGTCACGTGCTCGAGGCTCCTCATGCTAACTTCCACATCGGCGGGGCGAGTCGTCCGCGAGAGAAAGGAACCTCTCGTGTGAGGACGGATCGTTGAATAAACACAACCACTTCGCGATTCGACTATACTTGCAACAATTTATTTTACCCTTAATACGAAGACAATGAAAGCCGTGAGGCGGCGATTATAACTAATGAACTTATATTTTTAGAATGTAGCGAGATATGAATCGAAGAATAAGATTTTAAACTATCTAGGTCGCTCGGTTACAATTCGTTGATTGTTTAGTTGGGATGTTAGATATTTAATCGGATTTAGCGTCGAAACGGCGTCACCTAGATCGGGACGGAGCTACGCGGGAATCGGTGTTCACTCGTTGACGCCGGAACTAGAAGTGACTGGCTTCGCCTTCCGCTCGTGTCTCTTCGGGTGCATTCGTTTATGCAGCGATTAGCGCATCCACTGCGCATCTACTGCGTCTATTATCTGCGAGTCACGTGACATCATTTACCGAACGATCACCTGCGTGAATTGACTGCTCAGATTGTAATTGGAGTGCGTAAGTAAAGAAATTTTAAATAAATATGAATTAACTCAGAAATAAATATTTTTTATGGCTCTCAATATAAACAATATAAGTATGATGGTTTCTAAATCGACCTAAGAGCCATAGCACAAAAAATTACAAAAATTAATTATTCGGAACTGTATTTCTTGGTACGAGATTACTAAAGTTCCATATATTAATTAACCTCGAACTTACATATGGAGAAATAGGCGCGAAAAATGTAGGTCCGAAAAGTCGCTGAAGCGGGAATCAAACCCGCGTCTTTCACTTTCCGGGCGACTGCTCTTACCACTAAGCTATTCAGACTTTTCGGACCTATATTTTTCGTGCCTATTTCTCCATATGTAAGTTCGAGGTTAATTAATATATGGAACTTTATAGTAATCTCGTACCAAGAGATACAGTTCCGAATAATTAATTTTTGTAATTTTTCGTGCTATGGCTCTTAGGGCGGAATTCATAGATGTTTCTTGAGTTTCAAGACAAACTTAAGCTAGTGCTTAAGATCGTGATAGTTTCATGAACATTTCTAAAGACCGATTTTCAAACTGAAACTTGAGATCATGCTTAATGAAGCAAATTCTGTTTCATAGTCAAATCTTAAGTACGACTTAAAATTATTAGATGCACAATCATGACTCAAACCATATCTTGAGCAGGTCTTAATGAAGTCCAGTAAATTGTAGACTTAAGACGGTTGTGAAATAAAGTGCTGTATAGGTTATATAAAATAAAATAGTTATGTATCAATTATATTAAAATTATTTTAAAAATAAACATTTAATCCTATATACGATATTAATTAATTATTTATAATACATTTATTACAAATTTACATAATATTTATTATTTTGAGGTTTTATATTTACATTAAAGGTATTATGGAATTTAATATATTGGGCCAGTTTGACATTAACTTGTTTGAAAGTTCTGATTCCTCTTCTGATGAAGAAAATGACGAAAATGAAGAAATTGGCATAATACGTGAAAAACGATATGTGCGAGATGCAATTAATCCATTTACAGCTTATCGTGAACACGAATTTCATATAAGATATAGATTCTCAAAAAATTCTGTTATGCATGGATTATTGCCTTTGGTTATAAATGGTTTAACAAAGCCTGATAATCGAGGTCTTCCTATTGAACCAGTTATTCAATTGCTTATTTGTTTAAGATATTATGCTACCAGCAGTTTTCAAGTAAATTCTCTATATTACATATCATTAATTTTAAAAAGAGACATAAATAATTGTATTATATATTTTATGTTTTAGAAAGTAAACGGAGATCTTATGAAATTACCACAACCAACAATTAGTAGAATTATATTTAGAGTAACTATGATATTAGCATCTTATTTGAATAGTCATGTTAAATTTGTGACACATGAAGGAGCTATACAAGAAAACCGCAGATTATTTAAAGAATTAGGATATGGGAGATTTGGAGCTATTGGACTTCCTTACATTGATGGGGCAATAGACTGCACACACATTAGATTATTAAGTAATAATTTCGGGGGACTGGCTGAAATGTATAGAAATAGAAAAGGATATTTCTCTTTAAATGTCCAGGTAAAGTAATAAAAATTATGTTTCTATTTTACTAATATTTATTTGTTTTTTATTGTCTTATTCTTTATTTATTGTATAAGGCTATCGTGGGACCACGCATGGAATTTTTAGATCTCGTCCCAGAATGGCCAGGAAGGGAACACGATAGCAGAATTTTCCAAAATTCTAGAATTTTTATGCGGTATCAACAACGTGAATTAACAGGAATGATAGTTGGAGATTCTGGATATCCTGCTCTTACATTTCTGTTAACACCATTCAGAAATCCTCAAAATGAAGAGGAACAAAAGTTAGATATTAAAAATTGAAATTTAATAAATTTTGAAGTTTCTGGTTTTTTAATATACATACATATATTAATAATAAAAATTTTATCGAAGATATAATGAAATTCAATCAAGAACACGAATGGTTGTTGAAAGAACTTTTGGAGTATGGAAGAGACGATTTCCTTGCTTATCAAGAGGATTGTCTTTAAAACTTGTAACATGTACTGGAGTCGTATCAGCGTGTGCAGTTTTACATAATTTAGCACTATATTTTAAAGATGTGCTTCCAGAAGAACCAGAAGTTGATGTAATAATTGAAGATAATGAAGAGCTTTATTACAATGAACTTCAGCAACCTGGAGATGGTTTTATTGTCAGGCAAAACATAGTTCGAGATTTATTTCGTTAACCTTAATGTAATGATATTAATTTTTAATTTTATGTTCCATTCATACATTTTTTACGTTATAATCCAACTATATATTTCAAATCTTATATTGGATTGCATTTTCTATTATATTAAACTTTCCAAAATGTTTTGATAATGTTAGTCATGATCATCATAGCGTCAATGAAAAGTTAGAGGTCCGTTATCTATAATTTTAAGTAAATTCTGGCAGCCTCAATGTATTTAAAAAATTCTTTAGAAATCAAAGAGTAAATCATTAATTTTATTTTGTCATTTTATTACACTTTATTTTGTATTACATATTTGTTAATAATATGTATAATATATAATACTAAGATAATCATATGATATAATACTCTTAACATAATTCAAAATAAAATACAACATAACACAATATAATGCTGATAACATAATAATAAAAATAATAATTTTTTAAAACTAGATTTCACTTCTTTTGACTAGTATTCTCAGTCTTATTTAACTTTTTAAATTAAAAATATAATGTAATAAAATAAAATAAGTGTAATTATAAACAATAATTTAGTAATAATAAAAATTAATGTAATAACATTATTTATAACTTAGTATTCACAGCGAATATTTTAGAAATTTTTTTCTACTCATCATCTGAGATATAATGTTCTCCCCTAGAATTTAAAAAACCTTTTTAAATTAAAATTTTATTTATAACTGAAGGGAAAAAGTCATTACTTACATTTCTCTTTGAGCACGAAATTTCGCTAATTTAGCTCTTTCTTGTAACTCTTTTTTTTCTAAGAACAACTTTTTAATCGTCATTTTATTAATAAACTGTTCTCGTTCTTTTTTAAGTTTACATATTTCGATTTCATGATTAATTTTTATATCTGCCAATTCCATTTCTTTGTCACATATTATAGTCATTCTTTCAGTTTTCTGTTTCTTTGAATTGGACCGTGATGTAGCATTTCTATTTTTGTTTCTCTTAAGTTCTCTATCTGATAAAATTGAATTTTCTTTTTCTGTAAAACATTATTTTCATATGTTAAAAATGAACAGCTTTTAATTTAAAATAATAGCTGCTTTTGCGACACAATCAAAATGATCCAGATTAAAATGATCCTGCGCTGTGATTGAATCCGAAATTTCTTTGAACATAATTCAAAAAAATTACAAATTTCAATCACAGCGCAGAATTATTTTAATGTGAATCATTTTGAATCTGTCGCGAAAGCAGCCAATATTTCATATTGTTTTACCAGATTCATTATTAGACTCTTTATCTATTGTATCATATATTGTATCATCCATTTCAAATTCCATGTCGTCAATGTTAAATGCTGGTTCATTAGATGTTAGTAATTTTGTGTCTTCAAACACTCTCCACTAGCAATGTAATCAATTTTGGTCGAAGCATTCTGCTGAATTGCTTTTAAAACCTTATTTGTCGATCTAAAATATTGAATTAATCATTTATCATTTAAGTTAAAAGAATTTATATATATTATTTATATATTATCACTTATATAAGCTTATATATTGCTTTTATATTCCTGCATACAAAAGTTACTTAGGTCCAATTGCACCAATGTTATTTGGGCTTTAAGCGAGACTTAAATATATATCCATTTTCTTTCTACATAAAGGCAGACACATATTTAAGTCTAGCTTAAAGCCAAAATAACATTAGTGCAATATCAGACCTTAAAGAAATGGTTGATGTTGTCATGAAATCAGATACAAGTACCTTCATATTCCGCCTTAGAAAAGTTACTTGAAGAAATGGTTGGTGCTGTTGTCATCAAATCAGGGACAATGTCTAAAACATTTGGATCAACTTCAGCAATATTTTTTTGTGGTCCTCCTCCTGTGAGAAATCTTGATTGTCTTTCAGTGTTAATATATTTTTATTTTGCTGTTTTAAATTAGACCAATACTTCCTCAACTGTTGTACATCTCTCTATAATATAAAAACTATTTATATTTCAAAGAGAATTGATAAAATAGTAAAATAATAAAGTAAATTTTATACTTTAGTAGAAATTAAGGAAGAGTTATTATATTCTTCCATAATAATAGACCAAGCCTCTGACTTCTCTTTTTAACGTGGAGGTATTTGTACCTTTCGATTCAACAATATGTTTGTATTTTTTTAAGATCTCAAGGAATACTTGTTTTCCAAATCTGAATATACCGTTCTTTTAGACATTATCTTTCTAAAAATTTATTTTTTGAAACAAAATTTTAAGAAAAATGCAAAGGAAATAGATAATAGATTTCACAACAAAAATAGATAAGGTTAAGTTTTCTCTGTTTAAATAAATATTATAGTAAATATATAACAGTAATAATATCATAATTTTTCTCAATTTTTACTCACAATATACGCTAGTAAAGTAAAATAAATTAGTAAAATCTACCGTTTATTAGAATCTCGACAATGTATTTCTGATGACAGCGAAGACACACGTTTCTCTAGGTATACTTTTAGATATTGAAATGTCATTGGTCAAATTTTAGGGAATTCCGAATATTTCCGAAGTTGGATGCTTAAGAATGAACTTTACTAAGACAGTCTTAAGCTTTAACCTGATTCTTCAAGACTCGTTTGTGCATATAGGACATTCTCAAGATAATTTTGGACGCTAAGTTCATCTTGGCGAAGACTATCTTAAGACAGATTTTAAGCAACATCTATGAATTCCACCCCTTAGGCGATTTATAAACACCATCATATTTATATTATATGAATTAGATTTGAATAAATATAATAAAAGTTTTAAATAGATTGAAGGTTCTAACTATGAGTGTGCACATAACATTTTCAGACAGTGATGACAGTAGGATTGAAATGTTGCTGAATGTAGACTTCTCAGATTTTCCAAACTAACTGGGGACGAAGTAGCTTGA